CTGTAGGCAGACGTGGTTAATTCTGCTGTAGTTACTCAGGACAGCACAAGGCAGGAGCTCACTGAGCATTGCCCTGCATCCGAGAGAGAAGATGCAAACGACAAAGATTTGTGTAGGGATTAGTGTTTTCCTGTCCCTTACTTTTACAAAAGAAACAAACTATGGCATAAATGCTGCATTAAGGTTTCTGGCTTAAATATTTATGCAGGGGATGCAAAAAGGTGACACTCTAGGAACACTGATCACTCCAGTCACATGCCTAGGGACAGCCTGGACTCCAAGGCTCGCTGTTTGCAAGGAGTAGCTGCACCCAGAGATGTTTCTGCTCTAGCAAACGGTGCCGTGGGAAACCCACAGTGTTAAACCGATGTGAAGGCTGGTATTCCGCATAGTCCTGAGCCTGGTTCTGCAAAGAAGATTGAGCCATGTAACTGAAGGCTTTGACCCACATTCAGCTGGCCCACAGTGGTGGGGTTGATAGAGTTTCTTTTGCTCGTGCTCATTTATCTCACAGCAGCTGAAGCACAGCCGGACTTGTTGATGGGGGAGCTCATCACGATCTGGTCCAGCGTGGGTCCATCCCTTGGCAGCGCCACCACCTCCACCCATCTGCCCTGCTCCAGCTCGTGGAGCGGCTCCTGAACTGCCCATATCCACTGCAGAGCCTTCTTTTGGCTCAAACCACCCTAAGTAACGCAAGCTCAGTCAAAACAAACCCAGCCTCCAGTGGGAAAACAATTCGGGGGATGCAGCTTCCTGCCTGGAGGAGGAGCAGGAGGGAGGTAGAAACCCTTTGCACGCATCCTCCTCCTGCATCCCGGCGCGGCAGCAGCGGCGCTGCGCGGCCGGCGCGGGGAGCGGCCAGGGCAAGGGACGGAGCTGGGTGGGATTGGACGGGGAGTACCGGGGTAGGAGCTGGGCTCTGTGTCTGCCGTGCTGGGCCAGGGGCCGGAGGAGGGACCCGCTCCCACAGGCGCATTGCCCAGCCCACGGCTCTCCCCCTCGCAGCCGAGCATCTCGGCAGCAGCGAGATAAATGCAGCCCTGCTCCCTTTAGCGGCTACATCCCCACCCCGCTCAGCCATCCCAGCCAAAGATGCCCAGACCACCTCCAAGCCTTCCCAAAGCACACACCACTTTTTAGTCTAAAGAACACACGGCTTCTGTGACGCGTTGTCTTTTGTTGATCTGCCTGCCTGCCTGCCTCAGTACCATTCCATTATTTTAGCCTACTGGCTCGTCTTAACTTGATTCAATGGGGCATAAAACTGCAAAGACATCACATTCCTTCAGGTAGGCTTAAGACAGAGCAAGGACACACACATACAGACAAGCACTGCTGCACAATGATGCTGAAGTCAAATAAGGTTCAGCCTGCCTCCCAGATGCTCTCATGCCAAGGTAATTGCACAGTAGATAATTATTTGTGTTGGGGACTATCCGAGTTTCTGCACTGGCCACGGGGAGGTTACGTTGCTTTCTATTTCATGGCCTACCACACAAACCATGGCCATTTCCCAATTAAGCCCACTTTTTGTCAGCCTCAGTACTGCGCTCCTAAGAATCACAGAATCAGTTTCTGTGATTCTTGGGAAATATCTCGCCCCAGGATACATTTTTATGTGCGTTCCCTACATTTTTCTTAATTTCATAATCCTTTTGATCACTGCCTCAGTTGGACCCAAAGGACTATACAAGTCTCTTGTTATTTCTTGTCTAAACACCCCACTGATCACCTTTACCGCCTGAGTTTGAGACTTCGCTGCTGTCAGCTACAGGGCTGAAATTCCCCATGCACAAAGCCTGACCACAGCACAATGGCAGCTGTCTGCGGCCTGCCCGGGGCAGTCACAGCACCATAGCCATGCCCGATGGGACAATCCCCAGTGGCTGGGGCTCATAGGGCATTCCATAGCCAGGAGGAGTGTAAAAGCAACGCAGGACTGCTCAAATGAGCATCCAGTGCTGACAAGCCATGTGGTGCATTTCCATCCCATGAAATGAGGGGTCTATTGGAATTCAAATGCTCTTTCTCCACCAATGCCAACATGCCCAGAAAAATTGCTTTGTCTCAGAAGTGCCCATGCTCGACACTGTCTGGAATCTGTGTTAATATCTGGGGCAAATATCACCATGTGTTTCCAATACTCCCTCTCCCTGAAGCATCTGCTGTTGAGTGCAGAAATGAGTCAAGGCACACCTTTGGTCTGACCCATGTCCTCCTACTCTTCAGCACTAACCACATCTGCAATCATGCCCTGTCTGCTTGGGCTTGAGCAGCAGGATGCATCCTGCAGAATTCCTGTTGTTTCCTCTTGGTCACGGTGTCCCTAATGAAATCCTTATCTACCATCAGATGATTCCTCCATCACTTAGGAGCAAGCTCCAGGTTTTAGCTCTGGTGCAGATTTTCATGCCCTTCAAAGAGCCGTTCCCTATTCTGAGTACTGCCCACATTCAGTCTGTTTGGTGAGCCTTTATCCTTCTCCACAGGAATAATTTCATTTTCCTTTACAGCTTGCTCATCCAGGTTGGATGCTGGAGTATTTTACTTAACATGTCTTGTTTGCATCCTTCTCCTTAGCCTGGCACCTGATGAACTACCTGTGGCAGGAAGAAACATGCTGTAATAATCAGAGAGGAAATCTGGAGGGCTCTGGTTCACTCCTCAGAGGCAGATGCCCATATTCCTCACACATTAACCATAACACAAGGCCTGTGCATACAGATGCTCTCAAGTCAGTGCTGGCAGACTTCAACCCCCGACCATGGAAGCTCACTTCCCCTGGAGATCTTGGCACGCTGGACAGACTGGCCGGAAAATGAAGATAACATTCCCTCTCTATATCAAAGAGCAAAAGGGAAGGGGAGGAGAAGACCGTGCTCCTCTCCTTGGCTGCCTCTGCCTAAGAAATGGCAAGAGTGAAAATGCTCCGCATCCAGCTCACACCTGTAGCCCCCTGCCCATGCTGGGGCCCACATGGACAAGCCCTCAAAGGAGGAGCATGCCAATGAGTGCCAAGCAGCCTCGGCAGCCCCTAAAGCACAGCCATGCTCAGCTCCCACTCCACTGCATCCATCCCTTCTCCAGCTGCTTCCAGACCCCCATCACCACCATGCAGCTGCAGTGCCATGATAATGAAAAGCCCTCCTCATCCGGATGGTTCATTTCCCAGGGAAGCTCAATCCTGGCTTGAAAAGCTGAAAGTTAGATGAGGAGATGATGGGAAACCAGGGTATGCATTGCTGCCCCAGCAGCCGGTCCCCTTTTCACAGCCATCACAGTGTGCAAGCACCGATCTCTGGGCTCTACTGATAGCTCTTTTCCTCCATGCTGGAACTGTGGCTGGCTTTCCCTGCTCTTCGCCTCCAGCCGTACCTTTAACATGTGTGGGCAAACCTAGGCTCTTGAACACAATTTGGTCCAAGGCAAAGGTGTCGGGGCATGTTCTGCTCCGGAGAGGAGGAATGGCTGAATTGCTGGGGAAAGGCCAGCCTTGGGCTGCCAAAGCTGGGAGACGCCTGGCTTCCTGATCCATTCCTGTCTGGGGAGGCTTGTGAGTGGATCCAGGGAGGAGGAAGAGAAGGATCAGTTCTGTCTGGCAGGCCCATGGGCAGAGGGAATGAGGTGGGGATGAGGCAAGACCCCTACTGTAGAAGGTTCCTTCTACATGGGTGCCAAAGAATCTACAAAGAGTGAATGAACCTGGCTTGGCATCCCTGCAGTTGCTTCTTTGTAAATATCTGCTCTGCCAGGTGGGAGAGCAAAGATTCTCCCTTTCTGTGCCATGCTTAACACACACACAAACAGGGTTTGTTGGGTTATCTGACAAGCTTCCTCTCCTTCCTTGTTCTGTTTTCTCTCTGGTTCTCCCTGGGCTCAGCTCATCCCCTTCCATCCCAGTTATGGTTACACCAGAGCAAAGCTGAGCCCAGGCAGTTGTGACTCTTTCCAGCTCCACATCAGCCCCACAGGGCACGGGATCTGGGCTTGTTAACCCAAACAACCACCCTGTGAGTGCCTCTGTGTGGGAGTCGTCTCTTCAAACCCTGCTGCCAACAAAACCCATGCCCATTTCCACACACCCTCTCCTGCCTCATTCCATCACACAGGCAACTGCATGAGGCTCAGGGAGGCTGCTGCCCCACACGACCCTCTGTATAGGGCTGGAGAGCTCCAGTGCCCCAGGCTCTGTGAGGCTGGACACCCACTCTCCTGCCTGTTTCCCAGCCATTTCCCACAAAGCTTCCCAGGAAATGCTGGGAGGGATTTTCTGCCTCTCCGTGCTGGGGTTTCCAGGAGCCAGCTCAACCTCCTCTATCTCCAGATCTAAATCACCAGAGACGTGCCACAGCCAGCAGCCACCCCGGCTCTACCCCATCCCTCTGGAGTGAAGTCAACCTTCCCCCTGAGCTAAACAGGAGGCTCTGCTTCCCACCTCCTTGGCAAGCCCATTGCTCACCCATAGGCTAATATAAGCCTGCATTCTCCTGGCCCCATCAGTCTCTCCTTCCCCATTGACACAAAGGTGCTGGGAAGGAGCAGGCACTGATCTCTTGAGGCTTTCTCCTACCCAGAACCTGTTTGTGACCTCTCCCTGGAGACCTGCAGAGGAGCAAGGGTGAACACCAGCACAAATCAAAGGGTCCCAGCTGCCCACCCCAATCGATTTATATTCCCAGGAATGGGATTAGCTACCGGGTTTTAGATAAGTGCTTTTAGTTCGATCCTGAGCTGCCTCAGAAGAGATGGGTGGATTTCTTGTAGATTATCTAGGGGATTGGAAGTAGCCTGGCAACACAATTGTTTCTTCCTTGCGGAACCCGATGTGCTGCTTTGGAAGTGGTGAAGTGATGATCACACAGGTGACCGTTTGCAAATAAAGCAACTCAAAACCTCCCACTGGCTTTTACTCATTTCCACTCTTGCTCATGCTGCTCATTTCCAGTGCCTCCCATTTCTCCTGGTGAAGACAAGAGCGATTCCAGCACAGGGAGGCATTGACTGACCAAGTTCTTCATCCTTTTATTTACTCTCCCATCCACCCACAAGTGGCCAGGCTCTGATTCTCTGTAGAATCAGCCCATCGGCATTCTTGGAGGCTCATCTCCAGTAATAATCAGCACAGATGCCCTCAGCAGGGTTGAGCCGTTTGCAGGAGGGCGTGCTGATTTCTTGGTGGGGATCCAACAAATGATCTCATGCTAGAAAGGAAGCCAGAAATCACCATCTCCACCGGGCCAATCATGGTGTTCACTGCTGACTGCACAGACAACCCCATGCTCTCTGCAGATGGTCTCTGGTGCCTCTCCACTGCTCAGTCCCACCATCACCTCCACCTCCTTCAGCTTTGATTGCTTGGCAGGAGTGGCCAGGACTGTCCCCACTGTGACTACTATTAGAGCCACTGTACCACCAAACACCAACTGGACATCAAGCAACCTGGCCAGACAGTAGAATAAAACCAGTTCAGTGTTGCAATAGCAAAACAAACCCCAAAGGCAACAGCATAGGCAAGCAGTCTGACTGACAAGGGCCAGATTAGCATATGTGATGTGGCAGATACTGCTGGGCTAGAGGCAGATCATATATCTCTGCAACATCCCTGCACTGACCCTTCTCCATTTCCCTGCCCTCATGGTGGCAGAGCAGATGATCCACAGAGCTGGGTGTTGTTCTACACCCCAAGTGTTGTCCCAGTCACTGTGGGACTATCAGTAAGACTTTCCTGATGCTTGCTCAGGCAGTACCACATCAATGGAACCATGTTGGGGTACCATGCCTCTTGTGAAGCCAACTGTCTTCAAGATGACCCTTCTCAGCTCTTTGGGAGGATGCCAGCAATGCAATGACTGATCTTCCCAGCCCACCATGCTTTAATTTCTCATCCAGGTCCCATCCTGTCCCCAGCCCATGCCTGTCTGCGTCCCAGCTGTGCTTTCCAAACAGGAGCTTTAAGTCCTGTCTTTGAAATTTAGGAGCCATCCAGGCCTTACAATGGCCACTCTGCTTCTGTCACACTACAGCCACAGCTCACAATCCTTGTGACCTCTTTTTCCTGCTCTCTGTGTCTCCATCCGGTCCTCTGGCTCATTGTTCCAGACACAGTCACTGTTTAGTTCTCCATTCCAGTGCCTCTTGCCACAGACACCCATTTCACACCTCATCTAATTATTTTTGCTCACTTCCATCACTCACAGGTATATCCCTCACCAGCTCCATTCCCTTTCCAAGTCCACCCCCAAAACCACCTCCACCACCCTTCTGTCTGCTCTCAGCTGCACCCTCTGTCCAACTTCACCCACGTCTTCCAAAACCACTGTTGGCTTTCCCAGCCCACATTCATCCCTCCCATCCTCAAGCTCTCCAGGAAGGCATGAAGCCACTGGAAAGGGCCTGCCCAACATCCCCTTCCATGAGGGTAAGGGCCTCATGTGCTAAGGCACCTAAGAGGTGCAAGGTACTTGAGATGGGTGCCCCTCTTCAATGGGAGGAATTGGGGTCCACAGGCAATGTCTTTTTGTTTCCTAGGCTAGAAATCCCTGCTACTACTACCTCCTACTCTCCTTGCCTATCAGCCACTCTTCCCAGAGAGCCCAGGGCACCCTCTGCCAAGCTCAGTGCAGCAGCTCCTTCTCTTTGTTTCTATTCCAAACCTTTGCAATACCTTTGTTCACCATAGATTTCAAATTGCTGAAAGATTTATAAGACCACAGTAAATCGCAAGGTGTAACACCCAAACGGGGCTTTAATTACCATCGCAAAGGCATTAAACGTACATCCAAAAAGAGAGGGGGACTGCTCACATCTCTGTGGGTATAATTCCCTGTTGATGTGTTTGGGTACATCTCTTCACCCCCACCTGCATATTTGTATACCAGTGCACGAATTCATCTTTGAAGGCTTTACAAGAATGTGTAATCTCCCTCTTTAATGTGCTTCCATATCTTTGCTCATCTTGATTAGCAGGATTACTCCCCCTTAGTCATGTTCATACCATGCTTGAAAGGCATCTGTGCACATACATGGAGGAGAGAGTAAACTGACGTTTACTATCTCAAGATGTATTTCCACATAAATACATTCTGCATAAACTTCTGCTTTAGCAGCTTACAAAGATGTTTTGGCATGTGTGTGCTCATGTATTTATTCTGTGCACCTAAACCCACTTATTTCTGTACATGCACAACTTTGGCATTGTTTTCTCCATCACTGGTGTCATACACACATCAGGACTGTTCCCCTGCCAACCAAAAATGGATGCTTGAGCCTCTGCATGCCAGTTGCCTAGCAGAAGAGAAAGCAGAGATGTGAAGACCTGCTGTATTTTCCAGGTCACTTGTTTTATTTACACCACCTACCCTGGGTAAGCCTGAGATGCCCAACCAGCTTTGAAGGCAATGCCTTGATCCTGAAATCACCCAAACATCTGTATTCTTTCCCTTGAAATTAACTCTGCCTTCAGAATTGGCTCTCATCAAAGGCCCTGGCAGAGAGCACACTTTACCCCACCTTCAGTTTACTGTCTCTCGAGCCTCACACAGGACAGCACATCTCCCTGAGAACAAAAGCACATTCAGGTCGACTCTTCTGTGTGACACCAGCACCTGCTGCCACTTCACCTTTATGCTCTGTTTACACAGTCCATACATGCATAAATCCACAGCAGAAAAACACTTTCCTTTAACATGGTACATCCCTCTTAAGAGTTTATAGGGTATTTGTCTATCTGGTGCCCACTGAAAACCGATGCTCTAATTGCCTTGTGAATGCTGGTCCATTCCCGTGTAAGCAAGAGCAAGCTGTGTCCATGCTGTTCTTCCTGTGTCCCCTACAGCCATTCTGTTCTCTAGTGATTTTGGACAGAAACGCTTTGGAAATGATAAACCACAAGGTAACACAGAGGGCTCTTTCAGTGCTGCTGGCAGTCAGATAAGAGGCTTTCTTTTCCCTGCCCTTAACTATCTCGGGCATTTAGATGAAGGAGATAAACCAGAGATATCAGAGCTCTTGAGGATCCACACATTCTCCTGTTCTGTCAGAAAACAAAGAGCAGAAGGATTTCAAATCCTGCAGCCAGGAAGCAAATGTTCCCACTGTGCGCTGTGGTGCTCATGCCCATGCACACACGCTATGCTGGATATGCTGGACCACATTTGGCCAGGTCTTCAGCACTGAGCATTGCCAGCTGCCACAGAAAGCACCCTCCAGGCCTGCCCTGCTCTCCAGCAGCACTGCAAGCTCTGGCTCAGTGCACGTGGTTTTGGGAATGGGGGCTTGTCCCTCTCTTTACAAGAGCCTTGGGTCAAGACACTTATGCTCATGGATGTTCTACTTCCCAGGTTTCACAACCAGTGCATGCCCAGCCCAGTCACCGAGCACATGGCTTACCCCTGAAACCACATCTACACACCCAGAGGGAAGCATAAGCCAGCAGGTAGCTCCTGTCCACCTTAAGCCCCTTGGATTTAGTGGCTTAAAATGACTCCAAATCAAGGCCCTTCAGGGGTTCAGTCACAGCCAGTGATGCCTCAGCTTTCCTCAGCCCCAAAAGATGCAAAGGCTTATCTGCCCTGGGACAGGCTCCTGAGGGCACAGAGAACCCTCTGTGCATGACGAGGATGCTCAGCTCTCCCCCTTCCAGCTCTGGATACCCCAGGCTTGCCTTTACCCTGGCCCAGAGAGCTTGCACAGCTGCCCACAGCCACTCCACTGCATTTTCATGTCCTGCTCTACTGCCCTTTCTGCTGCAGAGGTGCATTCACTCCTAATCCTTTGTAATTTCTCCCATTAACACAGTATTCTGCTTTTGCATGGGGAAATCCTTTACAAGTGCCTAACGAAGCTATTCCCCATCATTTTCTATTCATTTTGGAATCCTGCGTGTTGCTGAAGCTATGATGAGCTGTGCTAAGGGCTGGCAGGGAACACACAGTAGTGTCTAAAGTAGAACATCCACTATAACCAGCTTAGGGAGTATCAAGAGGACAATAATAGCAATCCAGGCCTATTTAAGGATTGGCCAATGCAGATCCACATCTGAACACCTCACACTACCTGACTACCCAGCAGCAGCAGAGCCAAAGTGCATCTACTCAATGGGATGTATTCAAAGCTGCAGCCAGTCTGGGCTCCTTGCACCCTGGGGCTGTGAGTTCTCCAGGCTTAAAACTGAATGAAAAACTTGGCCCCAAGCTTATCTGAGAGCAGTCTTAAATCTGCTAATGGCATCTCTGTGCAACAACCATAGCTCCTGTGCCTTTGCCAAATGAAGGGACAAGGGCTGGCTGATGGACAGAAGGACAGGTTCCTCCACCAGCAACATGTCCCTTAGAGACAACACTGCAACAGAGGCAGGGTGCAGGATCTGTCCTCTGCACCCAGAACAAGACATGACATTGAGGAGCCCTGTGTGCCCTGTGTTTGCTCCCACAGCATTGCTCAAGTGAGGTTCAGCCTAGCAGAGCCACTGCCGAGGCACTGGGACACCTGAAGAATTACCCCTCCCTGGTTGTGCAACATCTGTGCGATTTGTATAACAGCAAACTATTGCCCAACAGTCATACTGAGGCTGCTCACAGTCATCCTGTGCAGGCATACACAGAACCATGTCAGTATTGGCCAATATTAGAAGATCTCAACCACCCATCTGCCTACATAGCTGCAAAGCCTGTGCTGAAGCTAACCATGAGGTAACCACAAGGCTGGGTTTCTCCCATGATCGGTCCAAAAACTGGTTATTTCTCAATTCCTGCTGTCCTGATGCTTGGAATTCCTCATTTCGATGGCTTTACCCCTCTGATTTCATAGCCAGGATGTTCAAGCTGTTCACATGCAACACAGGTACACGTCCAATAGAGATGGCCTTTACCTCCTTACCAAAGACAAGTTCAGACACTGGTGGTGAGAAATAACCCCATGCTCTGAGGACACATGTGATCTTAGCAGGTACCTGATTTATCCTGAGAACAAACCCCAGATTTTGCCCTCTCCTTTCCAGGTCAGGATGTCTGCAGAATTACTCATTTTGCATTAAGGAAATCCAACAGCAGCAAAATGCAATTGAAATGAGGTGCTCTCCACGTGCCAGGGAAAGCCCTCAGAAGGCAGAATGACCCCAATGGTCCACTCAGCCACCTCAAGCACAGATGCCCCTTCCAGAGCTCCAGTGCTTAAGTCCTTACCTTAATTCCCTGTTAAAAGCCACCTAACACCAGATGACCTCTCCTAAATCTCAGTGGCAAATCTCCACCCTCAGCCTAGCCAGGGCAGTGAAGGCACATGAAGTTCACTATTTAGTGCAGCACTGGGCCCCACAGAGTTACACTTCCTGTACAATCGTGCACAGAAAAGGCCCATCAGAATCTGGCAGAGGTGGGGATGCTGAATGAGAAGACAGTTCAAGGCAATATACCAGCCTAGGCTTTAAGCCACAGCCCAGG